TTCTGCCTGTCCAGAATTCAAAGGAAAAGCCGCACAAGCCTGGATGGATGAGTGGATGCACAATCCTCATGAGCTGTGGTCCCCTGGTCAATCTGTTTCTGTCTCCTTCTCTGTGTCTCAAAAAGGGAACAGACATATTCATCTTTAGAAGTTTTATCTATATGTCATCTTTTATTTCAAATAAATTCAAAAGACCCAGCTTTTAAAAATATGCAGCTTTTAAATTTCTGTGGTACACTGAAGGCCAAGTGTACATGTAGGTGGTATAGTTATTAATTAACTTAAATTTAAAAAACCCCAAAACAATAAGCCAACGAAACTCTGCCTGGGAAAAAACCAACACTCATGCTTTTCATAAGACATAATGCAAATCCTTCAGAAATTGGTGTGTGTCCCATGAATAGACAGGATTTTCGAAAGAGAAAATAAGTTGAGAGTCTGCAATTTGTCTTTCATTTTACTTTATGAGGTTATTCAGTACAAATGGAAGCAAGAGAACAGAATCTTTGTTAGCTGAAGTCAGTGAATCCAAACTGAATTATACAAACTGAAAGTCCAGCACCTGTTTTTCTAATCCATAGAAGAAGAGGGATCTGTCAAAGCTGGTTGATCTGCCATCTGGCATGTATTTCCTGTACCTGTCTCTAATCTTGGGCTGATTTTTGCTGGCACATTTCCAGAATCAAATAAAGGGAACTTATGACCAATATTTTCGCTTTTACCTGCTTTCTCTGCAAGTCAGGAACTTTTAAACTGTACATTTTAAAAAAGCCTTTGAAGGTTTATTTTCTAGCTTTATTTTTGGCCAGCGAAAATTACAGCAAAAAAGTTTTAGGTTTTTTTTGTGGAAAGTTGCTGATATTTTTAGATCAGTGGCAAGACTTTGGCTGTTCCTCTTTACCTCCCTGTGATCTGATTTAGCTTTGAATCTCCTGCTTTTCCCTATTGGTTTCAATTGGAGAAAAAGTTGTCCAGGACATGTCTGGTGATCACGTCTATGGAGACAATTACAATACCTCCATTCAATATTCCTCCTCCAACGTCCCACCTGATAGGTCTTCACTTGAAGCTGGAGTCCTTTGCTGCCAGCAAGACTGTGAATAATAATGAGCGAGAATACTGGGAAAGATCTTAAACATCCCCTCCCTCCCAACTTCAGGTCAGTTTTCAAATTTTTAGTAAAAATTCTGTTCCTTTCTTCTTTGTTCTTCCCTTCCTCTTTGAAAAAAATCTCTCCTTTTTTTTTGTTTGTTTTGAGTTTTTTTGTTCGGTTTGATTTGGTTTTCTGTTAAGTGAATTAATTTTTTGAAGCCGTTGTTTCCCATGTCACGGTGGCCATATGGCAATAGCACTTAAAGCCTGCTGCTTTTCTGTGTTTCAGGAGGTGTTCGCGAAGGCCTGGAGGCTGAGGTTGGAAGGAGGGACTCATGTCACCCCTGGAGACTCATGGCTTGAGAATGCCCTGCACTTGAGTGCCTCCCTGTCTCGATGTGCAAGGCTTAGCCCTCTCACTGCGGGCTCCAGGGCAGAGTCTTCTTATGGCTGGTAAAGCCTGAGTCCTGATAGGGACCTCCTGTCCTGCTGCATTAGAAGTATGTGGTTAAGAGGAGTAACTTAGGGGAGGGAAAAGGTGAAAGGAGGAGAAAAGTTGGGATGATGGTCTCATTCGGTTGTGTTGGTGTACACACCAGCATATCCTGTAAGCTCAGGTAAAGGTCTGCTGCCATGTCATCTCTAAAGAGGGGACAGTGGCTCTTGGTTATGCAAAATGTCCTGAGATGTTATTGTGAGGCTTGCTTGACTGTGGATAATTGCTTCCCTCTTTCACTTCTTCCAATCACCATTTCCTAATTTAGACAGAAAAGGCAAATCTTGAGGGTGAATAACCAGGCTTTTACACGCCAGCTTGCGTGCCTGTAACCAGTGTAATTTACTGACCAGGGAAATAGCAGGGCCACACAGTAGCAAGAAAAACAGCCGAGCAGTGACTGCTCCAAGCTGAACAGCAAAGTACAGCAAGTGCTTTGTGGGTTCCCGGGAGGTGTTAGCATGAATATGAGCCCTGCTGCTGCACCAAATGTAGACTATTGACCTTGGAAACGAAACCTTGAGCCATGGGTTATTTACCCTGAAAAAGGGAGAGCACCTATGTAATACACCTCGTTTGGTCCTGAATGCTTCAATGTCACATTTCCTCAATGTCTATTTGCTGATTTCTGTAGCTCATACTACAGAACGCCTGAGTACAACCCACCAGAAGTATATATTTGATACTTGTGAGGTAAATTAACACACTCGCAGTAATCACTGTTTCATATTTGATGAGAGATGCATTTTCTGGACATCAACAGATGCTGTTTTGTTTTGATTTTTTGTTTTTCTCTAAAACATCATAGGATGGAGTTTATTTAAATCAAGGTCTCCTCTGTGTTTTCTATTCTCAGGGTTGGGTTGTATTGCTGTAATTGCCTTTAACAGCAGCACCCGAGGGGTCCACAATCAGTGACACTTAATGTGCCTTTTCTGGATGTGCCTGGGTATTGGAGCAGTCAGCCCTGGGAAATCACTGTCCAGCTGCGAGCCGGTGGCAGGGAAGGGAGATGATTTTCCCCGAGGTCGCTGTGTGAGCTTATGGCGGCACTTCTCTCACCCGCTCATGTTTTATGAACTCACTGACCAGCAAGTTTTTCATCGTACCAAGGTTCCTCAGCTTCTTTCTGTCTTATGAATAGCTGAAACTTGTGTTTGCGTGGCAAAGGCAATGGACACGATTTCCAAATTTCCTTTGCACAGTGCTGCTTACCTGTGTGACAGCTGCCTGGCTCGTCAAGAGAACATTTGCTTTTCTTGCAAACTCACACCTCCTCCCCCCATCCCTTGCCCTTGCTTGTATAGAGCAATCGAGTAAAAAAAGGTCTTAGAAGTTGACAAAAATACAGGGTTTTGTTCGCATAAATATTTGCAAAGTCTCCCTTCAGGGTATTTACTCAGGGCTTGTAATTAGGCGGGAAATGATTATTTGAGAGCCAGCCTCCAATCTCCTCACAAAGGTGTTGCAATTCCACTACGAAAAGAAGACCCATTTTGCCCCAGTGCATGCTCATTATTTCACTCACCAAGATACTCCTTTTGTTTCAGGGCTGATGTTATGAAACAATACCCTTTAAGCTAATCACTGTTGGAGAAGAGAGGCTTGCTTTACAGTCAATGACTTTGATGCCTTGGGTAGTTCAAGTAAGAATCTGCCTCTGTCTTGCCTTGATTGACAAGACCCTTTCTATAAATTTGAGCAATTAAGCAACCCAGTAGCAGCTGCTAGGGAGATCTACTGAGCACAAAGCTGATAAAGATTGCCGTGCGGGTCTCCTGCTGCTCACTCTGACGTCCTGAAACACCATCTGCAATTTAAAACCGCAAAGGAGATCTGACTCCAACAAGTTAGGTGAGTGTGCTTCTGTGTTTGCTCCATGTCATGGCTCCAGCTCATGAATAAAGCAGCAGGTTTTGCTAAAGTGGCAAAGAATAAATGTTCAATTTGTTCTGAAGTTTGTCCCTTTTAATCTCTAAGGTCTGCTTTTAAAAATAAGGAATTTTAGCTTTTTTTTTTTTTTTTTACTCTGTTAAAGCTTATATGTAAACATATGCTCATTTAATCACATGTAAGACTACAGTGGATGCCTTCTTCAGTGTATGCCAAACTTCATGTGCTAATCTAAAACTCTGATTTAGCAAATTTAAAGCATTTGGTTTAACAGGAGCCTAGAGACTCAAACATCAGTCAGGCAAAAGGCAGGCCAAGCTCATTTAACTTAAATGTTATCCAGCTGAGGACACAGCCCAATGCACACAGGTCTGTGTGCCCTGTGCAGTAGCTGACTTTCTCAAAGTTAAATGTCAAGTCTGGGGTTTCTAGGTGGACATTTTTAAATGCAATGCAAGCATGTGAGGTATAAAGTGGATCTTGTGGCTTAGAGCTACTTTCCAGCTCTCTTCTTTGACAGAGAAAGTTTTCCAGAGAGGCTGATTGCTTTCTTCACTGATGGTTTGAGATAGAAAGGCAGCAAGTATCAGAGGGACTTGGCCGATGCTGGGCTGCTTGGAAGGTATGAGGAGTTCAAGCCTCCTCTGGTCACCTTGGCCATGTGCCCTCCATCTAACCAGCTCCGTTCACCAGCTTAGCAGCCTTGGTTGGGTCTGAGCTGGCTGTTAGGGCAGTGTGTGTAGGAGGGACAACGAACAGTTGCATTTGTCCCTGGCTGCAGCCCTGGGAACTAGCACGAGTTCAGCGCTCAGGGTATTGGTAATGGCAACTCCAGTAACACTTTTGGGAGGTGCTGATCTCTCTCAAGGGATTATAGCACAAATTCAGGGACACTTGGCTTCTAAAAGGTAAGTGGGATAAAACCAGGATGAAGTGCTCTCATCAAAATGCTGGTGTTACCTGCAGACCTAACCCTGTGCAGCAAAGTAGGGAACCTGCCACCTCCCATAGGTTTGGATGACTGACAGACAGACAGAGCCCTTCCAGACTGACCCTGCCAGGGCCAGTACTGCCAGGGTCTTCAGCCAACAACATGTGTGTGCACTGAGAGAGCAACCAAAGGCCTACCCAGCCATTGGCCTGGTGCAAGCTCAGGGCAACCCAGCTGGCGTGGTAGGAAGGCATTTGCTGCAAAGTAAACTTGCAATATGGAGATTTCAGTGGGTCTGAGGCACTGGCGGGTGGCTTTATCTCTTCCAGGCAAACCCCGCTGCTCTGCAGGTAAAGTCTGCGTGCCGCTGCTTTCTGTTAGACTTTTTCACTAAGACCTTCCCCTTCTGGGAGTAGGTGACCTCTCATTCGTACATCTTCTCTTGGGCTGAATGAGGATGGGGAACAGTGGGTCTGGGGGGAGGAAGGGGCATCCCAGCTCTGGAGCTGAGCCTGTGCACTTGCACTTCTTCCCTCCTGGGCTGCGCTGGCTCTCCCAACCCTCCGCTTCTCTCCCTTCTGCCTCAGCATGAAGCTCCACTGCGTGATTCTGGGCGCTCTGCTTCTCCTGCTGCTGGTGGGCTGTGGCGGTGCACTCAAGACCCCCGCCATCGACCTGCGCACCTTCATCGGCTGCGCTGTGCGCGCGTTCCCCTTCCTGGGCCAGAAACCCGGCTGCACAGGGCCGGCGTTGGACGCGTGCGGGGGACGCTGCGAGACCTGGGAGGTAAGGCTGCGCCTGGGACTGCGGGTGGCTGGCTGGCACCGACATCCCTGGCTGGTGCTTTCCTCCCCTAAGAAAAGCCCTCAAAAAAAAAACCAACCCCACCAAACATTAAATAGCTTGCAGCTATCTACGAAACAGGCAAGGGCTGTGTCCCGCTCCGCGACCCCCTCGCCACCACTGTCGGCAGCGGAGCACCTTGCCGTAAGTTGTTTCCCCCCTCTTCCCACTGCCTCAAAGGGGGATGCACATCATGTGATTATATTAATGAAGCACTTATGTAATACTGTTATTACGCAATTTGAAAGCCTCTTACAGCTTAACCACTTAAGGAGAGGAGGCCTTTATTACTTTACTGGAAAAAATTCCTTTGAGATTAAGATAGAGCTCCCAATTGATGGGTTTTTGATGCCTTTTGTTCCAAAAAGCAAATCCCAGAGATAATGTCTGTTTCTAATTTGGTCCTGTTTTAAGTCACAGCCCTGTATAAATATGAAGTAGTTATGATTTGGGGGGGCACAGGGGGAGAAGGAAAGAGCATAAGTACATCTATACGCACTTCAGAGAACAAGTTTCTGACTGTTTTTGCCTTTCTGCCACTGGAAGGCTCAAGGGGCCAGACCCAGTTTAATTTATTCAGGGAAGCTTCGAGTGACTCCAGAGGGATTTCGTCCACATGAAGACAAGGGCTCTGTGTAAGTGAGCAGAGGAGGAGCCAGGGTCTGTGTGCCAGCTTTGACTGCCCTCTTTCACTGCTTGGTGGGACGAGGGGAAAGGCCACCGGTGGCCAGATTTCCCCAGTGGGATAAGGTTCCTTCGAGGGACCTCTTGTCACCTGGTTCCCCCTACTCCCAAGCTCCTCTGGCAGCACAGACCTTGCAGACTCTCTTGCCGTACTGCAATATCACTGGGATGTAGTTAAGCTGAATGCATCTGGTTGTAGGTTCAACAGCTTCTAGAAAGCACCACGATGTACTTGGATGGGGGCGTTCGTAAGAGGGAGGGTGTCTGGATATCTTCTTGCTGAAACGTTGCATCTGTTCTTTTCCATGCCACCATTCTCGGTTCCCGGGGGCAGGCTCTTTACACAGCACAGAGGGGAAAAAAAGAAAGAAAAAATTAAAATGTCTCCTGGCTGTGTTACCTTATACTGTTTCCCATCTGCTCAAGGGAGAGGATTATAGTGGGCTCCCACTCCTGTTTGCGTTGCCCCTTCTTGGAGTCTTTGGAAAATGGGTGCTCCTGTCAAGGAAAAACTCCTTTTTCAGCATAAGCGATGCCACCGTGATACCACATGGGAGCGTGGGTTTCAGGGCCTTCAGGCTCCCATTGTCTCCTGATGGCTGAGGTCTCTGGCCAAGCAGTTTTTCTCATGAGGAACTGCAGGCTTCTATGCTGGCTGCTGTGCCGAGTGCATCCCTCACAGAGCACATCCATTGGGCTTTGTGGGACGTGCAGTCTGACTGGGAAGACTGGTCTGGCTGAGAAAAAACCAGCCATTTGGCACCTGGATGCACCTCTACTCTTAGGCAGCTCGTGCACGTGGAAGGGTTTCCAGCAGAACACGTTTTCTTTGGTGGAAAATCAATCCTTTTGGAAGAAAGCAGCTGCTTTTGGCAAATATGCACATTTGCTTGAAACACTAGTATTCTGCTGAAAACCAGCTTTTTGGATAGGGTTTTGTCTTCCTTCAGCAGCTTTAATTGGAGCTTTATGCTTTAAACAAACAGAAACACGCATATACACCCAATCTCCTCCATGGCAGGGCTCCAAGAGGCAGGTGTTGAAGGATGTAACCGAAAAATTATTTCCATGGCCCCTTCCACCTTGATCCAGTGGCTCCCCTATTTACACTAAATCCCCTTGAGGAAACTAGGACTCCAGATGTTTGTCTTGCTTCTTGCCTGAGGCCAGCATTTCTCCCCCACAGAAGCCAGTGCTGGAACCACCTTACATCGAGTCTTACCACCGTGTTTGCACCTACAATGAGACCAAGATGATGACGGTGAAGCTGCCCAAGTGTGCCCCCAACGTGGATCCCTTCTACACCTACCCGGTGGCCATCCGCTGCGACTGCGACATCTGCTCCACTGCAACGACCGAATGCGAGACTGCCTGAGCTCTCCTTTCCCAGGTCAGGCATGGAGGGGCCAAATTCTTCCCTGGCTTCATATCCCCGGTGCCTCCAGCATTACAGAGGATGTAAGTCAGTCCAGAATTTGATCTCAGCCTGTAATGCTCCTAATCATTGACTTTTCTGGGCAGATGAGCCTTAATCCCCTCTCCTCATACTGTTCAAAGCATTATTGCTGTAGAAAACGTAGTACACAGCCTTACAATAGCAAATCCTGTGGAAAAAAAAAATTGATGCAGTTTCCTTTCTTTACTGGCTTTTCACGCTGTGTGACCTTTCTTCATGCACAAAGTGCACATGAACTAAACAGTCACTGGGGGGTGGAAAGAGGCCACAAAGGCATTATAGCCTCTTTATTCATGTTGGGTTTTAGCTCCTTCCCAGTTAATGTAAATGCAATTACCAACATTTCCGCCACCTCGCCCTTGCCATTAGTTCTTTTTACCCTGAGGTCTATCAGGAATAAAGTTAAAGAAAAGGGCCTTAAGGCCAATGAAATGGAAATGGGTATCCAAATTGCTACCTTGAAATTAGGGTGAATGCATACTCAGCCCTGACCCAGCAAAGTACTTAAGCTCATGATTAAGTGTTTTGCTTAGTATCAGTGGACTTTTACAGTTAAGCACATATTTCAGTGATTTGCTTAATTGGAGCTATTGTGTTGAAAAAAAATTGCCTCATAAGAGACAATTCCTTGAAAAAAGAGAGAAACACATTAAATCTGTAAAACCAAAAGTGCATATCTTCCCATCAGCTTTTGTCCGGGGATAGGAGGGGAACTGACTTCATGTAAAACCAGCAAGACTCTGCAGAGCCCACGGAGTCTCTCCTGACAATTTCCAGAGTTAGAGGGACCAAGCCAAAACACAACGATCATGGTTTGGTTTCAGCGAGCCCCTGGCTGAGGTGGTGGGAAAGAGGGGACTACAGAGGGTGTTCCCACACTTCCCTGTGCTGCTCAGCTCCATGGAGACCTGCTCCTCCGAGGATGCACACAGAGCTGGGGGGCAGCCAGACGTGCCTGCAGGGAAGCTGTGGAGTGGCCAGTAATGTGGTCAACAACATGGTGAGACAAGCCCAGGACAGGAAAGCGAGCAGACATGCCAAAGGATGGTTCACACCTCCTCAGACCCACTATTTACAAACTAAGGAACATCCGGGAGCTGCTGCAACAGCCCCCTGGTGACCACAGCCATGTAAGTGCCTTTGTCCTCTGGCTCCCACATGGAGGAGGACAGATCCACGTTCACCCCTCATTTCTGCCCTGAACAAAATGGGAAATTACATGAAAGCAGGAAGACTTGCCAAGTGAGGGGGGTTCGCAGGAGCTTACAAAACAAAGACACCTTCTCAGATAGCCATTAGGAGAGAATTGCTGCTGAAAATTGCTGCACCTGCCTTCCCCCCAATTAACTGTCTTGTCTTCTGGATGCAGTTGCCTTCATTTCCAGGGACGCATGCTTGAAACTGCCCCAAGTGTCCTGTCCTCACTGAGACAGATTTAATTTAAACTGTAATTTATTAGTTGCTGTCATCTTTTTGTCTGTGGAATTGTAAAAGCTGCATTGTGGTTGAGTCGGAAGGAGGTGATTTTATCACTTTGCCTCCTGTAATTTTGACTAGAGACTGCTGTGTCAAACAACAGCAGGAGCAGTTTTCTGCTGATGGTGATGTTAACTGCCCTTTAAAAAAGTCCTTGTGTTTTGTTTCAAATTGCATCTCAATCCCTCTGATCTTGTTATTGTTCTAACTGGCATCACAACTATTATGGGAAACCTGCAAATTATTTTCTGTTCTTAATAAACCTCAAAATTGTAGTATGAAAGCAATTTAAAGCAATGTGTCCCTCTTTATGCATAGAGGTTTCTCATGCAGAATATGTGTAAGCTCCTACAAACTCTCTGCCAGAGCTGTGAACACCTGCAAAACATCTCCTCGATGCTGATGTGAAGTCATTTCCTTCCCTGGATTTCTCTCACGGAGTCTGGCTGTGCTATAGTCTCAGGATTAGAAGTAGGGTTAGAAAGTGGCAAACTTCCTTCCTTTGTAGCCAACAGGAAACGTGGGCTATATCCAGATACGGTGAAACAGTAGAAAACTCAGCAAGTGTTCAGAAGAAAACACTTCTGGATGTGAAGGAAGGTTTTGACTGATGCAGTAGCAGCCAGACTGGGAGGCAGAAGAGGAAGAGTGGGAAGGATGTATTGACTGACACCAAGCTAACACTTCTAGATGGTCTTTTAAGGAGGAGAGCAAAAGTGAATGGAGATGTTGTGGATTTGCTGTGGGTGACAAAAGTACAGCTAACACCAGAGCCCACCAACCCATTTGATTGGAGCACATCCCTCTTCGTCCAGTTCTGCTGGGTTCCCACAGGTGGGCACATCA